TTCCCTGTAATTGTCCATAGATCAAAGAACCAGTTGGTGGCAGCCATTAACACTTTCCAATGGAGTGTGCCCAGTCATGGGCTGTAAGTAGCCCTGCCTCTAAGCAATTCACTCCAATTTGATCCTCTGGATATGTCTAGACTACAGAGGTTTTTTCTGGAAAACTGTAGTTTTTCCGAAAAAAACTCTCGTCCACACCGCAACTGTGTTCTTTCAAAAAAAAACCTGAAAGAACAGAGGGGTTTTTCCGACATTGGTAAACCCCTTTCTACGAGGAAGAAGCCTTTTTCCAATAGAGCTCTTTCGGAAAAAGGCGTGTGTGGATTGGGGAAGAGGGAGTTCTTTAGAAAGAGGAAAAAACACAGGTGCCTTGGTACCCATCCCGCCCATAGTCATCACAGCTTATGTGCGAGATAGTGTCCATTCAGTGTGGACGCTCTCTGTCGAAAAAGCAGATGGCTTTTTCAATGCTCTTTAGCAGTCTGGACGCTCTCTTTCGGAAGAAGTTTTTTCAGAGGATCTCTTTCAGAAAAGCTTCTTCCAAAAGAAGCCTGCAGTCTAGACATAGCTTCTCAGTAGTTCCCCCAGAACTCTCCTGTAACACAGACACTTTTTAAAATCTCATGGCTTTTAATCCTAATATGTGTTGGATTCTTTTTCTTTCCATCTGGTTTCTGTGTTGTTACCACTTTTATCTGCAACCAGGAGAACTAGACAGTTTTTTGGGGGGGGGAGTTGAAATGTTCATGTAACTGCATGAGTACAGGAACCAGAGGTTTAGGAAAACACCAAATGTCACAACACACACATTACAATCAAGAGCATTGGCAACACTGATTCCAGGCTTTCATCCACTTAAAAAACAACCCCATTTAAAAAATAATCCCGCTCTATGGCCAAAAGCACCTACATGCTCCTCTTGCTTGAGAAGGCAGAGGTGGTGCACAGGAAATAACTCCTTTCAAAGCCAGGATGTTGATGATGGCTGCCTGTAGTTGGCTCAAAATGAGGACAAACTGTGAAAAGAAACAAAGAAAAGGAGATTAATGCTTCAGTGGCACAGAGAGGCTGTATTTCAGCAGTGATTTTGCTTTCATGAAGAATATAAACTCCTCTTTCACGTTGATTATCTCCTCTCCTCATCTCCTACCCTGAACCTATCTCTCCTGCAAAATAAATCTTTTGGTGAAGGCAACACCTGCAAGTCTAAATCTACAAGTCTGACTACTGAAAGAAAACAGAGTAGGATCAGATATGAAGGCCAGCTCTGGTCATGCAGAACAGATTTTAGAGCCAAGTTATCAGAATAACGGCTCACCCGATAAAGGAATGTTTTTAAACAAATGCGAATGTGATCTAAGAATCAACAGTGCTTTAAAGTGTGACACATGCTTAGTCTGCTGGCCTTAGCCATATATTTCGGTGGGCATTTGAAATATTTAGAGGGCACATATAAAGAACCACTCACTAGCCTGAAAAAATGAGGAATGCAGGTCACAAAGTGTTTTTTATCCACAAAAGCTTACATCCAAATAAATCCATTAGGGCATGTCTACACTAGGAAATTATTCAAAATAATAACTCCCGAAATAATAATTTTGAAGTAGCATGTCCACACTGTACGGCACCATCGAAATAGCTCAGAATAATTTCAGAATAGCATGTCCACACTGATTGGAGCCTGTATCAGATTTAAAGCCCCTGGAAGCACTCCAGGGAGGGCACCACGAGGACGGATGCTTCCTGCTTGCTGATGCTAGCTAAGAGACATGCTTACAGGGGCTCCTCTCTGCAGCCGTGTCTCACACATCACTCCACCACTACCTAGCCCCTTGCAGGACACCAAATTCATACCGCGTGCTCTGGTTGACCTTGCACAGAACTTCCAACGTGGAGCCGGAGCTGCTGCAAAACAGTGCTCACAGGCATCATGCTGCCCCTCATGGCGCAGTTCGTTCAAACTGCCCACGTGCTGCTTCAGGACACGACGACCAGCTTCAGCCAGAGGACTCCTTCACCCAAGCCTTGGCGCTCCTGCTGCAGCAAATGATCCTCAATCCCCTGCACACTATGGAACTCTGCGTCTGGTAGAAGGAGACCAGTTCTGACTGGTGGGCCTGCATCGTCCCGCAGCAATGGGATGACCAGCAGTGGCTGAAGAACTTCTGCATGTAGAAGGCCACTTTCCTGGAGCTCTGCGAGTGGCTCGCTTCTGCCCTCAGATGACAGGACACTCAACGGCAACCTGCCATTCCCCTGCAGAAGCGTGTCGCCGTCCCCCTGTGGAAGCTTGCCACACTGGACAGCTACTGCTCAATAGGGAACCAGTTCGGTGTGGGAAAATCCATGGTCAGGGTCATGCTCCTGCAGGTGGTCAAGGCCATCAACACCATATTGCAGTGGAGGGTCATCACTCTGGGGAATGTCGACTCCATCGTGGACGGCTTTGCCACTATGGGCTTCCCCAACTGCAGTAGGGGCCATAGACGGCACGCACATCCCCATCCTGGCCCCCAACCACCATGCCTCAGACTATATAAACAGGAAGGGGTACTTCTCTGTGGTGTTGCAGGCCCTGGTGGATCACAAGGGACAGTTCATGGACATTAACATCTGCTGGTCAGGGAGGTGCGTGACACCTGCACCTTTCAGAAATCAAGCCTGTTCCTGAAGGCGTACACCAGCACTTTTCCCCCTGACTGCATCACCATGGTCTGGGACGTGGACATGCCCATATGCATCCCCAGTGATGCAGCCTACCCCTTGCTCCCCTGGCTTATGAAGTCCTACACGGGCAACCTGGATCCCATCAAGGACAACTTCAATGACAGGCTCAGTAGGTGCCGCATGGTGATGGTGTGCGCCTTTGGCCACCTAAAGGGAAGGTTCAGGAGTCTCCTCACCCACCTAGACCTTAGTGAGTGCAACATCCCCTACGTGGTGCCAGCATATTGCATGGTCCACAACCTGTGTGAGAACAAGGGGGAGACTTTCCTGCCAGGGTGGAGGGCAGAGGCTAATCAGCTGGCCATGGCATACAAGCAGCTGGACACCAATGCCACAAGGGGTCCCTGCATTGCCCCTGTGTGCCTTTTCTCCCCCACTCCTCCCTTCCCCTGCCCTGCCTTCCCACCTTTCCCCTCCCATGCATATCACATAAAAAAAGTCTTTTTTGTTTGAAAAAACAACTCTCTTTGTTTATTTGGGGGATATGCAACAGGGGAGGGACTGGGGAAAGAATCTGGAATGGGTGAGGGGGGAGGAAAGGGAAGGAGGTTCTGGGATGGGGCTGGGACTGGCACCTGTCTTAGGTAGCTCAGCAGGCTTCAGCTGCCTGAGAGGTCCCTCTGAAATGTGATCAGGGGCCCCAGTGGCCCCTGAGGGGGCTAGGAGGGGAAGCCAACGGGGGGACTGTGTGTGGGGATTTGGGGGGCCAGGGAGGTGGCTGGTGGCCTGCTCCATGCACATGGCCATTCGCGCCATCACAGAGGTTATGGAAGAGCAAATGGCCTTATGCTGGCAAGCCAGCTGGTCCCAGATGGCCCTCTGCTGCTCCCAGTCATCCTAGCGCTCCTCCCAGTCAGTGGCCCACTCCTGGCACGCCCCGTCAAACCCCCGATGAGGGACTGGAGGCCAGCCAGCTGGTCCCTCACGAGGTCTTCCCGTGTTCACTTCCTCCCGCGGATCCCGTGAAGTCAGAAAGATGGCGTGGAAGGTGGGGGGTGCACCAAGCTCGCAGCTGGCCCAGCTGTGAAAAAAAGTAACAAGGGCAGTCATCCCAGGAGACACTGTGTGTGAAGCCCAGCCCTAATCTGCGCCGACACCAAAGGTCTTGGTTCAGATGATGGCGACGTGCTTCGAGCAAGGTCATCTGTTGCCTAGACAGTGGGTACTTTCCTGCAGGAGCACGGATGTCCAAGGGAAGCCTCACTACACCCACGGCCCAGAGACAAGCAGGCATGGGAAGGTGCCAGCCAGGCCAGGAGCAGGGACGGGGCGGCTCAGCTTCCTTCTGTGCCCAGGATGTGCCAGGTCCAGCAGCAGCGGCATCCCACAGGGAGAGAACTTCTATCCCTGGCCGGTGGAGAAGGGGGGAAGGGGCGTTGAGGGAAGGGTGTGTGAGCAGCAGAGATGGCTTGCTGGAGAGAGTGCTACTGGGGTTCCCTCCTTTTCCTCCCCCTGGCAGGTTCCCATGCAGAGGATCAGTCTCCTTTGCATCGCTGCACTTGACTGGCAGCAGAAGCTACCCGAGTGCAGGCATGACTGTTGTGTGTTTCCATGACTCCAGCCTCCTTAGGGGTGGCTTGTCGTAGGAAGGTGTCCCACCACAGAGGCCAGAGTAAGGCAGGCCTGTGCAGGAACCTTGTGAGAAGGAGCGAGGGGTTCCTGTGTGAGAGCGTCATAGGGCTGAGTCCTCCGGCCTGGCTCTTCATGTGCACCCATGTGCACAGGCTGTTGTGCGACCCCCCCGGCCAAGAAGGCCAAGAGAGGAGAGCACAGCCTCTCACAGCCCACCCCTGCCCCTGCCCGTATATAGTGAAAGTTATGGAACTCACCTGACATGCCTTCACCAGGATTGTCTGAGGCCGGGGAGACATCCGGGGAGGGCGGAGGGGGTGGCTGGCTCCAGCAGGAGAAGCAGCTTCTGGCTGGCAGGCATGGTGGCCTGGCTGGCCTGCTCCTCCTCCTCCACAACCCCGCCCTCATGGGTCTGAGGAGCCATTCCAGAGCATCCACTCCTCTCGCTGGCCTTGCTGTACGACTGCCAGAGCTTTTTTATTTTCATGCGGACCTGGTCAAGGGTCTATGTGTGTCCTTTTTCAGCCAGGCTGGTGGCCATATGTAGACATCCGCATTTCTCCTCCGGGTGTGGGGATCCTGGAAGTGGGTCTCCTCTCCCCAGAGTTCGATAAGGTCCAAGATCTCTGCACCAGTCCAGGCTGGTGCCCTTTGCTGGCAGCCATGGGGGTGCAGAAAGAGCGCTGGAATCGTCCATAGCTCCTGCGATGGGTCCTGTGTGGCACGGGGCCGGCAAAGCTCTCCTCGTGCCACATGCCCTTTGCCATCTGCCTGCGGCTGTAAAAGCTCTGCAGGAGAAGGGGAGCATTGGAGACACCAAATATGGCCAGAAGTGCAGCTGTGAGAGGCCTCTGGAGGCCAATTCATTTGAAAAAGCAGCAGCTGAGCATCCACACTCAGGCTATTTCAAAATAAGTGGTATTCCTCATGGAAAGCAGGAGATGTTATTTCGAAATAACCAGCCCCTTATTTTGAAATAACGGGCTTGGTAGTGTGGACGTGCCGCTTATTATTTCAAATAAGGGGAGTGTAGACCAGACCGTCTTCTCTGCTCTTTCACACTGTGGCACCGCTGGGCCAGTGGGACCCAGTGGTGGATGTAACCCTGTTTTACTGCTCCCACTATATTCCCTCTTCTTGTTTTTCTCCATTCATCCCTCTGTAAATAAATACCTCCCTGTCCTCTATTCATTGTACCTGCCGGTGTGTATGTGGTTATGGGGGGGGGGGGTTCCCATGGAGTGGAAGGGAGTTTCCCTGCTGCACCCCTGCACATACCCTTTCTTGGCCAGAGCTGCCAGCAGAGCAGACTCCATTTTGGCCATGAGGCATTAAAGTTACAACTTAGTGGGACTTGCCCTAGAGCAACTTAGTGCAGTAAACTGCTCAGCTGTGAGCCATGGTTTATAGTTCTTACCTTTATATTTACACCAGGGTTTTACACTGCCCGCTAACACCTAACACAGATGGAAGGGCTGAATAAGAGGATCCTGCCTCAATCCTTTTTTGAGGCTGGAGGTACCTTTCATGGATTTCTTTAATATAGAAAATGGATGGAATTAAATCCAGACCATATAGCACTAGATTCTATTTTCAGTGGTTTCCTGCCAACATTTTTATTATTGTCTTATTCTTATTTGTAAACTGGCCAAGAAAAATAACGAACATAACAAAAACAGCAGCATGTTGCAACAATTCAAACAAGAACCCCACCCCCAACTCCCTTCCAGATCCCCTCCCTTCTTTTAAAGTACACTTCAAATTGTAACGTTGTAGCACAGGATACACCATCTGTGAGGCTTCCTTTATGCTGAGAAAAGCAAGCTCAGCCCGAGGAAGATGGATTATAAATATTTCTCAGTTTTCAAGAATTATACAAAGACCAGGTGCAAGTTAGCACAAGTTGAGCATGAACCACAGATGAGAACAACACTTCAAAGAGAAACTATGACTTTAACCTTTGTATAGTAAATCTTAAATTACAGTTTTTGAATTCAGCAGCAATAAACCACACAGAAAATTCTGTCCAGGACTAGATTTATTCTATATTAGCAGCAATGCCAATTCTGAACTGAAATGTGAAGATTCTCACCTCATAAAGTACAAACTTAGGGATGATCTTCTTGCAGTTAAGGAGAACTCGAACTTGTTGAAACATGATTCCAATTGGCCATAGAGCAATGATTGTAAGGACACCGACAAAGCAGTTAATCCATATTGCAGCTCCATTAGGACTTAACTGAGAAAGCAAATTAAACAGGCATTTGGATAAGAGTTGGCAACTGTGAAGAGATAAAAAGCTTATTTCTATTTTTACGAAAGATGCTATCAACAGTAGTGGCTGCTGGGATTTGCACTGGAAACTGCTCAGAGGACTTTTTACACACAGAGACTGTTTCACAAAGACTTTTTTTCCATTTTCCTTTTTTTTTTAATAATTTTTTCAGTGGAGAAGTTTCATGAAAAAAAAATAGTCCTTGAAAGACAGTGCCGTCTAGTGAGCAAAGCTGAAACATGAGCTAGAAAATCTGGGTTCTATTCCTGGATCTGCTGATAACTTGCTATGTGATCATGAACAAGTCATTTCCCCTTACTGTGCCTCAGTTTCCCCTCTCACCCCACTCTGTCTTGTCCATATAGATTGTGAACTCTTCCAGGTGGGCACCATCTCTCACTATGTGTTGGTACAGCACCCAGCACCTGACCTTGATTGAAGCCATCCATGACAGCTAAACGGGAACTCGAGTGCTAGCCTGTGGCTGCTGAATGCCTCAGCTCCCTGGCTCCTCACCGGCACCGTGCCATGTTCTTGGAATAAAGCCTGACACTCCTTCAGCTGTACCTGAACCTGTTGTGAGTGTTATCTTGTTCCATAACAGTCAGCAGAAGCGCAAGGTGAAAGTACCACACTACCATTCTGAGCTAGGAGTCATTTACTCACTTTACACTGAGTTCACACAAATATACATGGCAGCACAATATGTTATGGAATGATGAACTGGGTCTGCTGTTTATAGGATGCTGGCTTGTACATAAACCTTGCCTGTCAAACCAAAATGTACAAGCTTGGTGAGCAATGGCTGATAAGAAATATTTACTTACATCAGAAAGGCTGTAGTTCCCATTGGTCCAAAGCACTATTGACAGAAACATTAGCACAGGTCGAAGGAAAGCCAATTGAAAGGTCCCCAACTTCAAGAGAAATAGGTTTCGTCTGACAAGTCAAAAAACCACCGCTGGTCAATACCTTGTTAATAAAGTTTAACAAAACTTCACTAGATATTGTTCAATAGTAGAAGCACCAAATGTTCCATGGGTCCTGTACATGGCTGCAGTCTGGCAAGGAACTTCTTCCAGCACCTAAATAGCTTGTCCCAAATTTTCTAATGTTTCCTATCACATTGAAAGATGTAGACACTAATTTAGCAGAACGGGCACAGAATAATGATTTTCTCCAGAGCTGACTCTCCAGCAGCAGTTAAATAGCTAACAGCATGATGTAAAAGTGAGGTACTAGATTAGCATCTACTAAGGAGCCCACAGCAGAATAGCTAATACCTGAAATATGCCATTAACTCCCACACTGCAGCTAAACTATCCCAACCTTCTGCTACAGTGGACAAATTAGTGCTTCACTATGAGCATTACAGTTAATGGCAAGTTACCACAGATCTTCTATGCTTGCCTACAGAGACCAGGTCACATAGGCCGTGTCCAGACTCAGGGGTTTTTTCGGGAAAAGTAGCCTTTTCCCGAAAAAACTTCCCCTGCGTCCAGACTCAAGCCGCGTTCTTTCGAAATTATTTCGAAAGAACGCGGCTTTTCTTTCGATGGCGGTAAACCTCATTTCACGAGGAAGAACGCATTCCTTCGAAAGTTCCTCTTTCGAAGGAAGGCGTTCTTCAATGTAAAGAGGCCGTCTTCGAAAGAGAGCATCCAGACTCGCTGGGTGCTCTCTTTCGAAAAAGCGGATTTTTCTTTCGAAAGATCCGCCTGCAGTCTAGATGCGATCTTTCGAAAGAAGCCTGCAGTCTAGACATAGCCATAGGGTGACTTCTTCCTAATTAGCTAATCCCTAATCTTGTGGAAGTCCAAGAAAGCAGAGGCTTTGAAGGCTTAGGAGAGAGGATCAGCATTTTTTCAGAGTATTCCCCCATGAGCACTGTTCAGTTGCCGCCATCCACTCTTCCTCCACTCTATCCTTCTAGGCCAGAGAAACTCATCCACCTTTCATCACTTCCCTGCCTTGCCCCATCAGGGCAGCTGGTGCATACTTCATTCTCTTTAAGTGTCATAATCAGAGACCCAAAAACAGCCTTCAGATGTAATGTTTGTTTAAAAATAGCATAAGGAAAGGGCGCAGGGGAGGGGAATACACTTGCCACTGAGATACATGAACGCTGAAATGTCGGAGCTATCTAAGTGCACTCGGGGGAAGGTCCAGGTACTGCTCCCCTCTGCTTTGTCAACCTCATCTATTTCCCAGTTCTCACTTTTTGTCATTATTCCAGTCTTCACTGTTGTGCCTATAGCCCCTCAGCCACACTATCTAATGAAGTCTCAGCAGCCAGCCAGCTGCCATTTTAATGTGTAATGTGATATACTAATGAACCTTGATTTGTTATAATTGCTCAATTAATACAGCCATAATTACATCATTACCGTGGTAATTTTACTTCCGCAAATAATTACAGAACTATAAACGGTACAAACAAGTGTGAAATGGGCGGAGACAGGTCACCTGATTAGCCCTTTCAAGCACTTGGAGAATTGTGTGAAAAGATCAATTTCTAGCAGATAGAAACCTGCTACTATCCCTTCCCTTTCCCTGTGCTGACCCTTATCACTCTTATTTGCACTAGCCTGTCTTATCTATCATCCTTATTCGTTATTAAAAAAATAAGCTATGTTCAACCAACCAAGAGACACCTGCAGAGGGAGCAAGAGAAGGCTGAAATTTTCAGGAAGCCATCCTTTCTCCTGGAGAAGTTTAGAGAACTCAAGTGTAAGTAGAAACCAAGGGCCTTCAAACCCCAGGTACCGATGAGAAGGAGCCCACCACAGTTGCAGGGGCCACATATGTCTCTGCACCATGTGCCCTTTGGGGGGCCCTCTACGTGCTGCCTGCACCAGCACAGCCCAGGCAGCTCCCAATGGCCAATGAAGCCTTCCTTGGGTTGCACGGGGCATAGAGACACACCTGGCCCCTGCAGCTGGCTGCTTCGAGCGGCATGCGGGGACACAGCAGGCAGGATGCCTGCCCTAGGCTCCTGTTGGTCCGCAGGCCAGATCTGGTGGTTTGGGGGGCTAGATAATGGTTGTATTTTGCCTGCCTCAATGTAGGCCCATAATGATAATACAATTTAATACAGCAGGTAGGGTTACCAGGTAGACTTCGCCAAAAAAACGGACACACTTGATTGGGGGGGAGGGACAGGGGAACAGCAGGCAGGATGCCTGCCCTAGGCTCCTGTTGGTCCGCAGGCCAGATCTGGTGGTTTGGGGGGCTAGATAATGGTTGTATTTTGCCTGCCTCAATGTAGGCCCATAATGATAATACAATTTAATACAGCAGGTAGGGTTACCAGGTAGACTTCGCCAAAAAAACGGACACACTTGATTGGGGGGGAGGGACAGGGGAGG